GGAGAGAAAGAGAGAGTTAGTACTAGAGAGAAAGAGAGAGTTAGTACTAGAGAGAAAGAAAGAGAGTGAATAAGAGCATGAACACAGAACAATATATGCTCCTTTGACCTGTGACAAGAGACATCAAGAGAAAATCGTATACAAGGAGAATAGAAGTGATGATATGATCTCACAGACGGTGCAGATCATAGTTATATCAAAATCTTTATGACGAATATCAATTTGAGCATAATGAAAAGGAAAATTATTTATTTTATAAATAAGAACTTATGTATGATGAATGTTTTCTATATCTCGAATTAAATCATTTGGTGATTTATATGAATTATTAATTTATTTATCTTGAATATTTATTACCTTATCAGATGATAATTGTTTAATACGTTGTTTTAATTGTATAACAGTTTGTTTTAATACATGAACATTAGCATTTTCATTACCATCTCCATCTCCATCTCCAACTGGCATAAGATGGAATGTTTTAATGATTCAATTAATTTCTATCGTAATTTCGTTGATGTATTACAAATAATATCAATAATGGCAATTTTTTCTTTGACTTCTTGTTTAATTGCTTTTTTTTGGTTCAACTAATGATATTTGTTTAAGTATTGTTAAATGTTGTTCATCATCCATATTGTTATCTAAATATTTATCAAATATAATTCCACCATTAATTGTATAATAAGTTGATGTTGGATTTGCTGGATGCATTGCTAAACTACATATAGCATATGCATTTTCATTAAAAAATCCTTTGATTTTTTTCTGCTGGTACATCTTCATCTTTCATACGAGAAAAAAATATATTCAAAACAGAGATGAGCACAGGACAACTTTTTTTTGACCTGTCCTGTGCTCATCTCTGGTACAAATCTATGACACTTATCTGAATATACTTTTCACATTTGATCATTGTTTTCTTCATAACTTATGTCTTTATTTGTGTCGACAAAAAACATCAATTGAATCAATATTATAAGACATATTTCAAATGTTAGTTAGGGTTTATTCATCGATATAACTAAAAACAATGAAGGATATTTTAAATTCTTTTTCTTTAAGTCAGTCCGATGATGCTTTGATTAATATCATTGAATAAATCGATTATATTGACAATATGATGTTGTTGATTCATTTTAAGATGACATTTAATCAAAGAATTTAATCAGATCAATATATAATCTAGATCCATATGAGCATAACTAGGCCAATATGACTTTCGATGATTATAGATATTTGTTCGTTCTTTTGTCTTCTTATGACACTGATTATTATTCAGAAGAAAAGTGTTGCAGTTTATAAAAAATCAATTCTCTACTTGATATCTTCATACAAAAAAAAAAGCGAGAAATATTGTTGTTTTTACTGTTGTGAATAAATAAATAAGATTCCTTGAAAATTTCTGTTTGTTCTCTTTTCTCTCCTGTGTTTGTCGATGACATTATTCAACACGTGACACTTATTTTTCTGCATTTTTTTTTCAGCATATTTCTCAAGTAGACACCCATTCACTCTTTTCAGCACAATGTCGTGAGTAGAAACCAAATAAATAAATGTTATTTGAATAAATAGTACAAAAACGATGCTGTTTTTCAATGGATCATTTACAAGTCTCATTTTTTACAAGATTTGATAGTTAGAAGAGATTCTTACATATGTCAATATTCAAACAAACTGAATCATCACAATGTCCATCGTCAAATAAGAAACCGTCAGCTGATTTCGAAAGACAAAATCGATTAAAGTGACGTTAAATTCTATTTTTAGGATTGACATTGTGACAATTTTTGAAAATTTGTCAAATGAATTATTTCTTAATATATTCGAGTATTTTGATGCTTATCAACTTCATTTAACATTTGGTCAACTAAACAGTCGTTTCAATTCGTTGCTTGATAATGCTCGTCTGCATTTTGATCTTGATTCTATTCCATTACATGAATTTTCATCATTTTCTCTCTCACTTAATTTTAATAATATTCTCTCTTTTACTTCACGAAATTTAGACAAGACACGTTCATGGCTATTTGATAATAATGAAGTTTTACAACAATTTTCTTTGATTCGTGCACTTACCTTAGTCAATGTTACTTATGGAATTATCAATCGACTACATGAACGTCTTCCTAATCTGAAGAATACACTGATATATGTCAGTATTTCTGGTATGTATCAATTTACAAATACCTTTCTCTAGAATAAAATCCTAATTGAGAAATTTTTCAATGAGAAACAAAAAAATGATGATAAAATTTTGGATAGAATGCTGAAATTCAATATAACCTTTATCATAAAATTGGTTGTATTGGCAAGTCTATTTTATATTATTAATGTAGAGGCAACAAAGACCGCCAAAAATGCGAATAAAGATGAATATATTTACTTTAAGCATTGGTGTCCAACACATGAATTTTGTTCAAATAAATATCGTTTTCTTCGTTATTTAATTATGGATACAGAATATAATCATGAATCATTTGGTTGTTTATCTCCAACAATATCAACAATCAGATATTTTAAACTTGGTCACATTTATTCTATTATTTGGCTTATTCATCTATTTCGATATTCACCTCAATTAAAAGTATTATATGTAGACGAGATCTATACTGTTTTAGATGATGGTGATTTTTTCAACCGTTATCCAACCAAGAAGCCAATTATATTTCCATGCGCTATTAATATGCATATTTTTGTTGTTAAGAATTGTTATTGTGAACCAATATCTATTGAATATATTCTTCGTGCATGTCCATATTTAAAACAACTCTATTTGAATTCTACAGTGGATTATATTAATCATCATCAGACGATTCGAACACAGATCTATAATCCTATTGTTTGGCAATCAATGATAGATCAGTGGGGACAACATTTAATCAATCTTAATATAACTATCAAAGGTGACGAGACATTTCTAGATCAAGATCTCACTACTGAATTTTGGCGATTAAAATCCTGGCAAGTGAAAACATTACGCTCACCACCTTGTTTCATTATTCAGAATGATCACAAAATTTTCGATTATTTTTCCTTATCTCGAACATAAATACTATTAAACTTTACGAATTTTGAATATTAAACACATCTTTGATGAAAATCAATCTGTTCAATATTTCAGTATGCGCATTTTTCATTACAATAGTACCATTCTTAAAAAATTTCTCTCAAGATTTCTTGTCAGGAGAAACACGACATTTAACATTAAACTTGTCTTTTCATAGTCATCGAGATGCTCTTTAAGTTTTCTCTTGCGTTTTTTCAAAGTGCCTGTTTTTGATAATCATAACAACATTAGTGAGGATTAATTATCAATAGAATAGTGCTGTAATAGATACGATAATTATCTTTTATCTATTTTGGATATGGGTATGGGCATAAGTCTGGATTCAGCTAGAGATTTGGTAATAAATGTCGATACGGGGGTAGAAATGTTAGTGAGTATTATTGTCTTCTCATCATTCACATCGACACGCTACTATTTCCGACGTCATGATATCAGTTGAAGATCTCTATAGAAGTTTGTTGACGTTGGTATAACAACATTCGATAGTTTCGTCAAGTTGGTTACAAGGACCGCAGTTGCTGGAATTTCATAAGATATATGTGGACAAAACATTTGTTTTTGTAATAGCGTTATAGCTCTGCTACTCTGTATGCTATAGTCCTCCACATAAGTATTCGATCCTTTCGAAGATTCAAGAACTCGCTGTAACCTTTTGTGTAACTACTATAAATAGACAACTCAAGTGCTCTTCCGCTCAGATAGCGCGTAGCGATTACTTCAAGCTTCATTATGTGTATGAATCATATGATATGGCAGTAACAATGAACAAATGGTATGAAATAGTCTTCTTATCTCATTCATCCAATGAGACCGAAAGTTGGCATGAAAACTGTAGCAAATGCGATAAATTTTACGAAGCACAGCACGGTGGGACTCGGGACTAGATCAATTAACTTGTGCGTCTCGCCAATTGTATACGAGGCAGGCTTGTGGATGTTCTGAAAAAAATAAGAGAGGTTTACAGAATCTTTTAGGCTTGCAAAACGTTGTTAGTTTTATTCGACAGTCGAGCCGCTGAAAAAATTATTTTGGTCATGAAAAAAAATTTCGACGAGCATATCAGAACCATTCTTTTATGTTCAGAACTCTTTTTTAGTGGTTCTACTTTCGCGCAAAATACAGAACTTCTTAGGAGCCCAGGAGGTTCTGCAAACCTTCTTTTCTTCAGAGCACACACATCCATACCACGAAAAATCTCAACAATATACTTTTCCTCAGATCGGTTACTCGATAAGCAGTATTTAAACTTGTACCTCTTATTGAGCTTTTTATTTTTATTGCGATAAAAATATTGCGGTGTAAATATTATATAAAACAGATTCATAGTAAAATAAATGATTTACATTGAAGAAGACAATATAAATTCACTGGATTTTTTTCAATGGTACTTCAAGAAAGAAAGAAGACTCATGTTCACGTGACAGAATGAAGCGAGATGGGACGACTTTTTGGTCGTCCCGTGGAGCTTTAGTGCGAAAGGTACTGTACAATATAGACTTAATCTATGGAATGAATTGAAAGGCCTGATCGACTAGGAGCATTCTTGATGACTTCGCCTGACACTACTGCCGATATTGATAACGTAAGTAAAGTTAGCACCAGCTTCACGTATTTCTTGTCCCGATTCGCTTTCTTACCTGTGTTACCTCTCTAGACACTTGTGTTAGGTGCAGAATTTTAAGCTCTATCGAACGGTACCGGTTTCAACCAGGATCATCGGGTAAAAACCCATCACTTTCCCCGAAATACTGCCTTATCCCCTGTGTAACAACACCCGATATTATGTATTTCTTGTCCGGATTCGATCTACGACTTGTGTTGGCTCTCTCATTGAGTGTGTTGGATGTGGAATTTAATTCTCTATCCGATGGTACTATTTCCAATAGGTGTCATTGGGCAAAAACTGGCGGTTATACCCCAAATACTAGGTCCAGGACAGGATCTTGAGTATAATCCTTGTCCGGATTCGCTCTAACACTTGTGTTAGCTTTCTCTTTGAGTGTGTTGAATGCAGAATTTAATTCTTTATCCGATGGTACAATTTGCAAGTGGTGTTATCGAGCAAAAACTGGGGGTTATACCGCAAATACTAGGTCCCAGAGAGGATCTTCGGTATATAGCTTTTCCTGACAATAATCTGATACTATTCAATTTTACGCTTGCGCTTAATTTTAATATTGTTCCATGTACATAACTACTGTTCTTGTTTTCAGTGTTGGTATTTCATGCTATTTACTGTAACTATCGTGCATGCTTCTAATAAGCAAATTCATTAAAACTTAGCGCACGTTATTTTTCTAGTTTATTAACTTGACTTTTTGCTAGTAGTACTATTTATCCAAATCAATGCTTTAAACCGATATTGTTTCCTAGGGTGCTTGCACACAAATGTCATGACTAAAGTACGCTTTCTTTTCCCTTACTTCATCACAACTGTTCAATTTTCTTCGTTGAAAAAAAAACCATACCTCTACATTAACCAATTTGAATTCATATATGATTTTGAAAGCTGAGCGAAATCTCAACTGTCTACTCTCATCAATACTACTCATTAGCTACCAAGAGAAAGGCGAATGAAATACATCAATAATTTGAGAGAAGCTCACATACACAGGCAAAACTTCAAAAAAGTCTATCCGTATGCCACCAATATCATACATATCGTGTGTATAGCTTCTAACCATAGGTACGCAGCATGAGGGAAGACGATTCTTCAAGTCCACTGTTAATAACACTAACATCCCCACCACCAGATCAATATATTATGAATGACCTAATCTCCGACATCAATGGACTACAAATAAGCCTTTCCAAAATGGAAATTCCTATCAACCGATAACGAATATTCCTGTGCGCAGCAACACTCATGAAAATTCAAAAAACATTCGCCATCAAAAAAACATTCCTTCATTACTTTCCCAAAATCTGAAAACCGAATACTCAAAAACCATTTGCCTTTACACAAAACATGACCATAGTGATACCAAACCACCCAGAGCTACCCTCCAACACCATGCTGCCACCTTCAAGATATTGGACAAAATAGATATTCTTCCTTCGCTCTTATCCATGAAATTCTACCATTTCGAACTGAGTAAACTTTCTCGTAACACACATTCCATAAAACACCGAAAACAGCATGCACATAAAAACCGTAGAAAGATCAAATTGTAGAATCTACTCTTAGACCAGTATTTCCGGAAAACCCCGTGATTTTTGCCCCATCACACAACCTGAAAACAGCGCCATCGAAAAGAGAATTAAATTCTGGATCCAACACACTCAACGAGAAAGCTAACACAAGTGTTAGAGCGAATCCGGACAAGGATTATACTCAAGATCCTGTCTTGGACCTAGTATTTGGGGTATAACCGCCAGTTTTTGCCCGATGACACCTATTGGAAATAGTACCATCGGATAGAGAATTAAATTCCGCATCCAACACACTCAATGAGAGAGCCAACACAAATCGTAGATCGAATCCGGACAAGAAATACATAATATCGGGTGTTGTTACACAGAGAATAAGGCAGTATTTCGGGGAAAGTGATGGATTTTTACCCGATGATCCTGGTTGAAACCGGTACCGTTCGATAGAGCTTAAAATTCTGCACTAACACAAGTGTCTAGAGAGGTAACACAGGTAAGAAAGCGAATCGGGACAAGAAATACGCGAATCTGGTGCTAACTTTGCTTACTTTATTGATATCATCTCCAACTGACTTTCCATTCCTCTCTTCTCTTTATCTAGCTCTATTGATCTTTCCCACGCTCATCTCTCTCTCGTGCTCTCTCCTGTATAAGCGTGTGTTGTATCGGCGCCAATAGAAAGAGGCTGGAGCAAAACTGTATCTACCAATATCAAAGCCATTCTACTCGGCAAAACATCAACATGACCGTCTTCAGAGGACAAAATCAAATAGAACAGTATATCTCGAATCTGCTAGAAAAGAGAAAGGTCATTCGAACAGTTAAGGATCCAGTCAACGTCAACTTGTGTGCATGCCGTTTAAACAGATCGAAATTTAGAGTTCAGCGAATGCACTGGTTATGAATCTCATTCGATCTCAACACAACTTGAAATGTATGAAAATTTCTAAAGATGAATTTAACGCTGAAAATGATCTGAAATTACAAGTCATTGGCTTCAACCATCAAGAAAAAATGGAAGATCTTTCCAACAGAAGTGGTATCTACTCTTGAGCGAAGTATACAAAGTCGTATTTCGGATGGTAATTGATAATGATGGTTTCTTCATATTGTGTTGATGATCAGAGTATGATGTATATATTTATGATACGCGAATATGTTGAATTCATTTGTTTGTTTCATAGAGTTAGAGAGAACTGACGGCTTTTGTGGAATACTGTAATAACGAGTAGGGATCGGTGCTTTATTAACAACGAGACTATGGAACCATTTAGAGCTATATGCGCCTTTGCCTCTTCAATTTAGTGCAGTTATGAAGAAAAATATTTACCGAAGCTTTGCCAGATGCATTCGTTTTCACGTGATTGTTTTACTAATCACTGAGATTAGTTTTCTATAACATAAGCCACTCTTTCGATTTTTTCAGTGAACCATTGAAAACAACGAGCGTCCAAGGCCTGAAGCAATTAACAGCAACAAATAACTATACTTTTTCATAACAAAATCACCAGTAAACAACTATGTCTTTGTTTACTCTAAAACTTGTTCCTGTAGCACAAAAAAATTATAGGTATGATATTTGTTGTCTTTTTGCTGCTGATCAATCTTCACAGGTAAAGTCAATAAATGCTTTCATATGAAGTATTTATTGTATGTATTCTAATTTGTATTCGCTTAACTGTGTTAGAAACCCACTACTTGTAGTAATCGTCCTTATGAAGAAGATTTGAAGCCGATGACGAAACGTAACTTCTGCTTGATGGCTGAATGGAATGGTATCTAATGGAACGTTTTGTAGAGCAACAAACGAGAATGCTTTGAGAGAAACAGTTCGCATCATATCAAATACAAGAATTCCATGTGGATCAGTCTATGAATTAGATCTTTTTATACTAAATTTTACAGACAATTCCATTGAAGTCGTTGTGGAAAAGTCGAGTTCAGCGTTGACGTTGGCGATCGATACGCAGCATGGTGGTAGCTAATCGACGGAGCATGTTTCAGTCTTTGTTTAGTGCATTATAATGATGAGAACTAGTCAGAGGCAAATGCCTAACAGTTTTTTGGCGGGGACTCCTCAAGTTAGAAGGGACTATTCCAATATGGTCACCATGGAAACGGACAGGATGACAAATTTCATCGAGCTGTGCAGGGGAAAATCGAAAATTTTCTAATATTAGAGAATAGGAGTTACTCCCTCATCTCGATCAATCGCCTCAACTGTTGTTGAGAAGGCAAGCTAACTCTATTTTTATCAATATGTCTAATAAGCGCATTCCAGACTCATGTGGAAACATCTTTGAAAACTCCTACCCCAAAATCGGTACCAGTTCTGGTTGATAGCAATTCCAAAATTCTCTACTATTTCTATTCGTACTATTTCCCGGTTCGACAGTTATATCGTGAAGATCATTGCATTTACTAAGTGTTGGTATAGGTCTTTGTGAGTGATTGTTGAGTTGAAATACGGTCTTATGGATTGTTTAGTAATAATCAAAGCTCCAATAACAGCTCATAGATGTAGTGTCTTTACACGATTAATCAGAAGTTTTCTTCACTCCTATTTTGCGTTCTAGATTTACCGGTCAATTATTATTCAGAGAATGATATTATTTGCTATCGGCTTAATTTTCGTGAGCACTTCTGAATCAGTTACATTTCAACACCAGAGAGCAACTTGCTCATGGCCTGGTCACTGTGCTGGGGATCCATGCACAACATACAACGATTGTGATGGATCTATGATCTGTGTAAACAAAAAATGTGGCGCAACCGATGGTACAGGATGTAATGCAGCATGCACCTGGACAGGTCATTGTTGTGGGGACCCATGTAAGACTTACAATGACTGTGATGGATCGTTGGTTTGTGTGAACGGTAAATGCGGTAGTGAGTCGTCATCATCTTCTGGTGGCTCTACTGGAAACTGTTCACCTTCCGGTGTATTGAAAGGCACAACGTAATCCTTTTCACATAACTCTTTCGAACATTACGCATTCGATTTTTTTCTAGTACTTTCTGTAACACAGAAAACATGTCCACGTGCTGTAAGACAGGCGTAGATTATACTCAATATCAATGCTCTCCCAGCTCAACTGCTTCAGCTATACTCACGTTGAACAGTTTCCGAAAAGGCGGTGATGGTGGTCATGGAGGTGCATGCGATGGCTCTTTTTATCCTGACTCACAGCGCGTTGTGGCCTTGTCGACAGGATGGTACAATCGGGGACAACGATGCGGTAAAGTGATTACCATTCGTGGAAATGGTAAGATGACAACAGCACTAGTCGTTGACGAATGTGACTCAGTACATGGATGCGATGCAGAACATGCGGGACAACCTCCGTGTCGTAACAATATCGTTGACGGGTCACCAGCTGTCTGGACTGCACTAGGTATATCGAAGACCGATCCACAATATGGACAGATTAACATTTCATGGAGTGACTAATTGCTACTGATTAAAATAGAGCGAGCTACATGAATGATTAAAATCGATTCAAAAACCATTTATATCTTACTTTTAGATGTAGGAGAACTTATCACCAGATTCGAGTATTTCCAGTAGTGTCAAACTTGAAACTCGAATTCAATTATTGAAGCGTTGTTTCAAGTATTCAATAATTGAATACTTGAATACAGATTTCAAGTTTGATATATATGGTCAAATCCGGTATTAACGAAGTTCATGAAACCGCTTTATGTTTCCGAACGATGATTTATGAATTGGAAGAGGTGAACTTATCTTTTGAGTCTGATAATCGTCACACTTAACACCTCTAGGCTTCATTTTGTAGTAACATACTAAATGAAATGCATAGAAATGATCGACAAAGGATCTAGTCGATCTAAACACCGCACGGAATGCAAGAATCTAAAGCATAAAAAGAGAAACACAATTCAGTGATTTTTTGGAAACTTAAAAAACGAGTGCTTTTTATACATCAGCCGGAAGTAATAACTTTGAACGGTATTTGTGAAGCTTGTTCGTATCAAGAAAACCTTCACATCGATACCTATCACTTGAAAAAAAATCAGTTGATTAAGCTTGATAAACAAGGGAGTTATTCAAATTTACTTCCCTAAGAGACTTTTGGAACACCCTGTATTAATAAACAATATGAAACGCGTCGGCAAAATTAACTCTACATTTCTTTTAAATTAATTCTAATTCAAACACATCTATTTAGTATTTTACTGTTATCTATTTTCAACAGAAAAATGGTTGCTGAAAAGCAAAAGTTAAGACTAGCAGATTAATTTGTATTGTAGAAATGTAGATCGATCTGTTCCTCATTGATTTACAGTATGTAAAATAATTATTCGTACACCTTTGACGTCTATGTTGTGAAGTAAATTTCACAATGAAGAAAAAACATATTTCCAACTTTTGTTACATCATTCGATAGGCCGAAATCTATATTTTCATCGAGGAAAAAACGAGCTCTTTTCAAAAAACCTTTCCATCTATTTTTCAAGGGTTTTCAAGAAACCACTCGATTTTTTGCGCAAAAAAAATTATTCGTACACTTTTAGTTTTCTTTTTATTGTATCTTTATTCTTCATGAAAATATTTCGACTCATAGCTCATTCGATAGAGAAAACAATTCTCTATGCATTGGTATGCTTTAAAATGGTAAACTATACTGTCAAACCTCCAGAAACCTCAAAGTTCCTAGAGCCCCATAGGTTTTTCAGAAAACTTTTTCTTTTTGAAACTTCATAAAATAAAAATTGAAGTCAAAATATATCATCAGATAGAGGGGAAAAACTGAACCGTAACATTCCCATTGTTTTCAAGAATATTTAATTAAAAGAAGAATTAATTGCTAATTATGATTAGTCTTTTCTATAGATGTATCATTATTTTCGATTTTTAGCCATCAAAATCTAACGGAAATTTGATTTGAAAAACAGAAGCCGAGAGAAAATTAAATTCTCTACAAAATCATGTACTTCACTATACGATAATTATTTTCCCTCGACAAGATAAGATCATAGCATTACAAGTACAATTTTTAGTACAGGAAAGAAAGTAAAACTTTTATACACCACGTGTAATAAACAGCGACAGAACGAAAAAAAATTTGTTTCCTATACTAAGAATTGTACTTGTAATGCTATGGTCTTATCTTATCGAGGGAAAAAAAGATTTCTGGGGTTAAGCACACGATTTTGTAGAGAATTTAATTCTTTATAGACTTTTCCTTTGAAAATAAGTTTTCATTCTGATTTTGATTCCTAAGAATCGAAAATAATGATACATATGTAAAAAAGACTAATCATAATTAGCAATTAATTCCTCTTTTAACTAAATATTCTTGAAAACAATGGGAATGTTACGATTCAGTTTTTTCCCTTCTATCTAATGATATATTATGACTTCAATTTTTATTTTATCAAGTTTGCAAAAGAAAAGATTTTCTGAAAAACCTATGGGGCTCTAGGAACTTTGAGATTTCTGGAGTTTTGACAGTATTGTTTACCATTTTAAAGCGTACCAATGCATAGAGAATTGTTTTCTCTATCGAATGAGCTATGAGTCGAAATATCTTCATGAAGAATAAAGATACAATAAAAAGAAAACTAAAAGTGTACGAATAATTTTTTTTGCGCAAAAAATCGAGTGATTTCTTGAAAAACCTTGAAAAATAGATGGAAAGGTTTTTTGAAAAGAGCTCGTTTTTTCCTCGATGAAAATATAGATTTCGGCCTATCGAATGATATAATAAAAGTTGAAAAAATGTTTTTTCTTCATTGTGAAATTTACTTCACAAAATAGACGACATAAGGTGTACGAATAATTATTTTACATACTGTGCGTAGACCCACACCCATCCTCTTTCAAACAATATTTGACTTATCCTTTGTTTCTCTACGATGGGTTCAGAGCATAGAGTCGGAAGAAATAAGGTACACATGGATACTTGAAAATTAATCGCTAGCAGCTTTCAAAAGTATGAAGAGTCACCAATGTATGTAACGAAAAGCTATGAAATTCGTTGTGTGCGATCTTGTCTATTCACAACAAGTAATTAACTACATAACAACGAGCTCGTCGCTCAATTTCATGTAGAATATGCCGGAAAAATACGAGATTTTAATCAGTTTTGTTCATGAAAAAAGTGAATGAATGAAAGCTAGAAGAACGGTGATGCAATGGAATTTCACGTGGTGAAATCATAGATTTTTGCTATATCATGTCTTTTATCCTTTTAAACACATCTCTAGTCTGAAAAAAGATGTGAGGTAGTTAGCGTGAGTGAATAGTTAGTAAGCTAGTAGCTACATATATAGTTATTTTTGTTTATTATTGTTTGTCGACTTGCAAGTTTGATCATCTGTTTATGTTTATTTGCACTTGAAATCGATTTCAGACACGTTCAGGGACTTTTGAAAATCTTCAGGATACATGAGAGTTAAGACTTGACGTTGATGGGATATTTCGTTTACGGCTGCCTGTTCGAGTTGTTGCATGAGCGCATCATTCATGCCCAAAGCTCGACGAATTCGGTAGATGGCATCTCGCTCGGCTGCATGAAAATCATTGTCAGTACTGGCTGCCAGAATAGCTTCAAGAATGAGTGACCGACCTGCTTCTTGTGTAAATTTCGGCTTCTCTGCTATCATCGCTTCGATTTCGGCTTTCATCGGCTGGTAAATTGTGAAGTAATTGATTACATGTGCGCCAGCGCCTTTGGCGACTGCATTGCCCAAGATCCATTTGCGTTCTTCATCAGCAAGGAAACCGTCAGCTCCAGCAAGATTCATTGAGGCTCGCGAGTATTTGTAATGCATTGCGTCACTCAGCAGTGCTGAACTATGCCAAAATTCTTGGAATACCCATTCGGCGCCTAGCTGACGAATGTTGCTATCGTTTATTCCTTTGTTATCGGTCATTTTTTCCATAGATAGAAGCACTAAGAATTAAAAAAAGTAACTGCTATTGTGTTATAATGTAAATAGCTAGTGTATGAATATCATCAGTCTTTCATTCCTCTTTTTCTGATTCATCGTTTCCTGCCTCACTGTATCGCAATTGTCACGCTTCATTGCCCCTTTCCCCAATATCGAAGATAAAACAAAGTACCTTGATATAGGGGTATCAGTGAGTGCGGAGTGTTATGAGTGTGTACAGACCCGTGACGCACTCTCATCTTACATTATACCTGATCCTCAAAATGTTTACAACATAGCGTTTTTTTCGTATATCGCAATACAGACAAAACCAAACATTCTTCAGTTTTTCTTTAGAAGTTACACCGTGAAATTGTTCATAAACTTCTACCTATCTTACTTTAAAACAATAGAGCTGAATGTTTTTGTAGATCACATACTGGGATGACATGAGTCGACCTCCCATACATTTTTAATATGTTTTCTTTCTGATTTCATTCACGGTATGAACAAGCACCTTAAAGACTGATTCTTGGAATTTCCATTGAACAGCAAATACTCTCTCAGAATAATACGTACGAATTTGATCACAACTTTTTTGGGGAAATTAGAACGGTCTGGCGGAGCTGATACAGTACAAATCGATTTTTTTCCTGTATTCAAATTTTCATTCCAGCTCATTCATATGTTATTGCATGTTATTTGAGCTGTAATTAGCTTGAAAAAACTGGCTTTCTAAAAATACTGCATAAATAAACGCCTTTTGATCGTGGATGAGATTTCTGTGATGTGTTTTTCGGAATAAAAGAAGAAAAAGAAGCCATTCATAAAAAAGGTCCTGTAGAAAGGGCTCTCGAATCGAATGTGTAAACAATATAGCACTTTGCATATATGCACAATTAGCAGCGGCTTTCAAAAACTACGCAGGGTGTAGGTGTACGAGAAGAGTCACTTACAATCACATCTACATCCACACGCACACCCTCAAATCGTAATTTTTCTAATTGAAATCCACTAAATATCAGTCAGAAAGGCGCAAACTCTTGCCTCTGGAATAATGCGACCCTATCCTTTTCGACTTTTTTTGAATCTTTCTTTTCAAAATCTTTAAATGGATTTTCTAGAGTTCATAACTATCAAGAAGATACACTATATTAAAGTATCTCTCAGAATAATTATCATATTAAGAGAGAACGTACAATCGAAAACGGTTGGTTTAAAAACCTAATTTTTCAGAAAAACTAATGGTTACTTCTCATTTGCGAACATAAAGAAAATAAATTTTACGTGAATTAAAATTTTTAAAATTTCGCTTGATTTAAAACGTAGGTGAAGTTAGGCTCGTATTCGAGTAAATCCAGTCGATATTCGTTCAGAAAGCTG